GTGTAGATAATCGTTCTGAAATTTTGCAGATATGTTCTCTGATACTTAAACTAATTTTCTAGAAAAAAAATGAACATATTTTCATGACATCAAATTTGACTAAGAACTACTTTTTATCAGATGATTCAACAATTGCAATTTCTATAATAGTTCTTCAATAATTATTAATTATTCTGTGTATTAAAAAATCTGACAATTTGAAAACCTTAACAGGTTTTCTCAGCCTCCTTTGATTATTTATGATGCCACGCCATGAATACAAAATCGTTTTACGTAATTTGATGTTAAATCCCAGAAACATAAATTCAGTCGAATTTTAAGAGGTATTCTGAAGTTAGTATGATTGAAGCTGGTGTTACCTTGCCAAGTTCCTCTTCGTGCGGCGTCTCGACGCCGTGGAGCGGCACGCGTTCGCCGGTGAAGCTGTTTGTGTGCGTCAGAGGTCGTTTGACGCCACTGATGTGGGACATCGCCGCCGGTCCCCTCTGGACCCTGTCTTTCTTCTTCGCCGCCCTGGCATCCACACTTCCTGCGGCCACGTAATGATTCTTTAATTTGCCAGAATTTTAACTGTTTTAAAAATTGATGACTTTGATTTACAAAAAAATACACGAGACGTTACTTATTTGTTAATTTGGAGATGATGCTTACCAAGGAAGGTGCTGCAGATGTATTCTGATATCTGATTCCCGGATTTCGATGACTCCGAGAAGTGGGACAGCTCCTTGTTCAGCATTCGCTTGAACTGTAACCAAAAAAGGCAATCATAAATTATTAGAATCCATAATCATGTCGTTTCGATTTAAATTAATATACATGAATAAATCAGAGACTTCTCAGAAATGAGAACAATCACAAATGCAAATGCATTGTACAATTTAAATATTGCAATCCATAATTCATTAGAAAACTTGCTAGACTCTAACCATGAACTACATCAATTTCAAATTCGGATTACTCAATTTTCTGAATTCATTAATTACTTCATTCTTTAAATTAACTAAGTGCCTCATTCTATATATTTCATTCATTTATCTTATTTTATAAATTGATAAATGATCTCATATTTTATATTCATTAATTGCCACGTTTTTCTAAATTAT